TTTCCCTCATATTTTCTCATTAAAAAAGAAAGCATTTTAGTTTATGAAAAACTAGCGTCATATTCATGTTTATAAACTGAACAGAAGGGAAAACAGTTAACCAATAACTCGTAATAACTCTAAGTATCAGTGAGATCACAGCTAATGACAGACACCAAGTTTTGGTAGGACACTGACACAGAGAGTGAATAGGATTCCAGGGTGTCAGAACATTGGCATTTAAGAGAGAGTGGGAGAGACACACAACCATGCAAGTGAGTTTGGGAAAATGTAACTTACTTTGTTACTTAAAGGGCTGTTGAGTAGAAGATGAGAAAAAGATTCACTTTTGGAAATTCCTGTGGACAATACAAACCTACTGGATATTACTGGGACATTGACTTCTACTCATTCATAATAAACAGCTTCCTAATAATTAAAATGGTCTTGATAATGAAATCAGTACCCTTTGTATTGTCAAACTTTCTGTACCAGAAGTGTTTGTGCAAAGGCTGAAAGTCCGGAATATTGTAAAAAGCATTCTTAGAGTGTGGGCTAAACAGATGGTCTCCAGAGTCCTTGTTTACAAAAAGGTCTGTGTCTTCAGAATTGAGCTACAACACCAAAAAGAGATGAAAACAACTGATATTTATATACCTGTTTTAACAAATTGTAATATTGTTATTTAAGTATAAATTACTTTGTTAATGAATACAAAAATAAATGAAGATAAAAGAAACTGTCTTTTAGATTTGCTTGCAAATTAAATTGTTCAATTTTGTTTATCTTTTACTTTTTTCTATATTCAGGAGTTATATTTTGTGATATTTCCTATTGGAAAAAAATTAAGTATTTTAAATTTTGTATTAGTAAAATCCTTGTTTAGACATTTTGAAATTAACAGTAAATTAGGGGAAAATACCTATAGTACTTTTAGTCAAAGTACCTATTATTGTATCTTTTCCCATTCATTTTCTTTTCTTTAAAATTTTAAAACACTTTTAATTTTTTATAAAATAGTTTGAACATATGTAGAAGAGAAATACTCAGAACATTCATGTACCCACTTGATATTTTTCTATTTTTGCTTCAAATCTTAATTTTAAAAATAAAATGTTACATTAAAGTTCCCTATATACTTTCTCTGAACATCTTTTTTTTTCTTTCTTCAGAGGAAATTAATCTTCTATAATTGTTAGATAGGTTTCCTTCCTAGCCATTTTATTTTATTTAAACACATTTTTGGAAAATTGTCTTTTACTTTTTCATAAATAGTACATATGCATTGTTAAAAAGGAAAAAGAAGAAGAAAAACAATAGCAAAAATGTTAATATTCTTTCCACTCAGAGATCACTGACTTATCATCATAGTCTGTATCCTTCTGGATCTTTCTCTCTGAGAGTGTGTCTGTATTATAAACATACATGAACAAATTTTCTTCTATTACTAACTTGCTAGGGTTTTTATTTTAAATGATGGGTGGTGTTGAATTTTATCAATTGCTCAAATGCCCTTTATTTTGCTTCTATTGAAATGATCAAATGCTTTTTCTTGTTTTAATATAGGACATTACATTTATATATTTTTAATCTTAAACTACTCTTATCCTTTGCTTTCTTTTTTTTCAAGAATTATTTTATTTAAATTTATTTATTTATTTATGTATTTTAATTTGACCAGAGAGGGAGAGAGAGGAGAGGAGGGGAAGGGAGGAACAGAGAGGAAAAGAAAGGAGAGAGAAAGTGAGAAAACAAGCTGCCAGATCTGGGACTTGAACCACAGTTGACCAATGTAGGAGTCCAACACCCTTAACCACTATGCCACCTGCTGGCCCCATCCTTTGCTTTCCTAAGATAGATACTACTTTAGTTGTGGTACAGTTTTTATACATTGCTGAATTCCTTTCGCTAGTATTTGGGATTTTTGTAACGTTCATACATAAGAATGGCCTATCATTTTATTTTTCAAGCCAACTTTATCCAGTTTTGACATTGATTTTAAAAATTCTCATCAGGAGTGACTTACAGTGGTTTTCCTTCTTTCTTTTGTCTCTTGAAGATTATAAAAGATAGGGTTGTCTATTTTTTAAAATGTGTTAGACTTCACTCTAGAGCCTGCTGGAGCTTTTGCTTATTTGAGAATCTATTTTTTTCCTAAGTATGCATTTTATTTAACAAATATGAATAGACTCAAATCTTATATTTCTTTTCCAGTTATTAGAAGTAACATTTTTCTGAAAAGTTGTTTGTCTCAGATTCTGTATCTGCTGGCATTAGTTTAAAAATCACACACAACTCTCAATGCTCAGCATGTTTCTCAAGCTGCTGGGCCCAGGACTTGAACCATGCAGTCAGCCATGTAGGATCTAGCCACCTTCACCACCATGCTAAGGATTGTCCCTAAAAGAAAATATCTTTTTTTTTTTTGGAGAGGTTTTTGCTATAGGGCGAGTGTGTTCACCAGACAGACAGAGAGAGACAGAGAGACAGAAAGCGAGAAATCACCCCCCGGGGGGATGGCCATGCTGCAATCCCTTCTCCTCCGTTCTCCTCTCGGGATCTTGGGCACGCACACACATGCGCCCAACGTGAGTTTTAAGCCACTGGGTCCGGGACACGAACCGTGGTCGACTACGTGGGAGTCCAGCGACATAGCCATTATGCTAACTGCTGGTCCCAAGAAAATATCTTTTTTTTAAAAAAAAAGAATTAGTTAATTTAATTTAATTAATTTATTTATTTTAATTTGACCAGGGAGGGACAGAGTGAGAGAGAGAAGTGGGGAGCAGGGAAAGTGAGAAAGCAGGCCACCAGGTCCAGGACTTAAACTACAGCCAGCTATGTGGGAATCTAGCGCCCTTAACCACCATACCAGCAGCTGGATCCAAGAAAATATCTTAATTCCTTTTGTAAATTTTATGGAAGATGTATTGAAACTTTTTAAATATATATAAAATACTTATATATTATATATATATATAATAGTCATTTACACAGTGTCTCTATACACACACACACACACACACACACATAGTCTATATATATACATATATGTGTGTGCGTGTGTGTGTGTATATATACACATAGGCATATACTTTATGAGGTACTAATTACACCGTGAATAGCACTCTGTAATTTTAGCTGTTTTCCTGTCTAATTATTTGCATAACAATGATTTCTGAAAGCCTGTGCATCTCATCGCTTCCTTTGGCTGTCCTTGCTCCCAACTTAAATGATTCCATGTGTGTATTACATTTAGGCAGATGATGAAGGGTTTATTTACAGCACAGAACAGCAGTGCAGTGGTAAAGCACAAGGCTCGCCGAGGCCGACCCACAGGGAAAGGTGTCGAACTCATGACCAGAGACCTCCCTCAGTATACCAGTCATGACTCGTCTTTGATCTGGGTCTGGCTGTGGCGGGAGGTGGAGTTGTGAAGACTCTGTTGGGATAGTATTTCTGTCTTTCTGTATCTCTCTTGCTTATGAAAGAAATAAATAAACTTTAAAAAAATGTAATAAAAGAATTTAGGAAAAAAGTAGTAATAGGCTAGATACCTTGCTCAGTTATTGGTAATCTATTTCTCAGTTTATGTTCATGACTGCTAAGTCCAGTCTGATAAGTATGTTCTGTACAGCACCACCAAAAACATCAATTTGGAGGCCAGCAGATGACATAGCAGTTATGTCACTGGACTCCCGTATACTCGACTATGGTTTGAGTCCCAGATCTGGTGGCTTGAAAATCATGACAGGCATGTATGTGTGCATGCCCAAGATCCTGAGAGGAGGATGGAGAAGGAACTGTGGCATGGCTGTGCCCCCTGGAGGGGGTGATTTCTTAATTTTCCATTCACTCACTCTCTCTGGTGAGCACACGTGCTATAAGGCAAAACCCTCTCAAAAAAAAAAAAAAGCAAATTTCATTTTGATACCGCTAAGGTCTAAAGGTAAAATCTTTTAGATTTTATTTTTAATTGCTAGAGGTCATGTGTGTTGCCAGACAGACAGACAGAGAGAGGCAGTCCTTTTTCCTCCATTTCCCCAACGTGTCAGGATTTGGGTCACACACTCCCAGTGTGTTTTTCAAGCCCCCAGGGTTGGGATTTGAACTACAGTTGGCCATGTAAGATCTGGCTCCCTTAACCAGTAGGCCATAGGAATGTCTCCCACCTTTTTAAAAAGTACTTTGTGTGTGTGTGTTTACACATAGGAACTATCAAAAAACCTTGAGCTCAGTACCAACAGTTTCCAGCGACAGTTGCTTGCTGAAAGGAAAAGGGCATTTGAGGCTCATGGTGAAAATAAAATTCTTCAAAAGGAGCTACAACGACTGTATCACAAATTAAAGGTAAGCACTTTATTTTTAATTGTAGTATTTCCCCATACTATATATTAACTGTAAATCCAATATTTTCAATACTACTATTATTTATATTTGTAAGTTGATATTACTTTAAATTCTAACCTTTCGGCACTTAAGAAAGGTTGGTATATAATTAATAAAGTGGCACAGCAAATATATTAATAGGAACAATATAAATTAAGCCAATTATAAAGTCCTGGAAGAAAGTTATGATAACTAGGGCCAGTAGGTGGCATGATGGTTGGGGTGCTGGACTCCCACATGGCTGACCACGCTTTGAGTCCCAGACCTAGTGACTTGTTTTCTCACATTCCTTCTCTCTCTGTCTCTGTCTCTCTCTGGTGGGCGCATGTGTCCTATAGTGAACTTGAAAGAATGATGATAATGAATAAAATAAAATAGATAAATAATTTGAAAAAATAATTATTGAAGATATAGTTTTTATGTATTGCAGTTTGAATAATCCAGTGTTCTTTCTCAGATAACCTCATGATTGATTATTTTTAAAGTTTTTCAAACAATGTCTTTTATTTTCTCAACATTTAGAGAAAATATTCAAATTATTATTATTTAATTTTTTTTCCATATGGCATGTGTGTTTGCCAGAGAGAGAGAGAGAGAGAGGAAAAGTAAAAAATCACCCCCCAGGGGTATAGCCATGCCTCAGTCCCCTCTCTTACATTTTCCTCTTGGGATTTTGGGCACACACACATATGTCAGGCAAGTTTTTCAGGCCACTAGGTTCCAGGCGTGAACCATGGAGTTGACCATGTGGGACCTAATGCCTTAACCACCATGCCATCTGCTGGCCTGGAAGCATTCAAATTATTTGATTTTGTTAAAGCAGGTATACTTAACTCTATGTAGAGGTCATTGAGGTGTTGAAATTTTGTGCAAAATTACACATTATCTTGCATAATTTTTTTGTCGTTGTCCTTTATCAAATCTCCAAAAAAGCCATAGTCCCCAAATGGTCAAGAACACCTATTTTAAAGTGGTCTAATTTGGGGACCAGCAGATGGAGTAATGGTTACATTGCTGGACTTCCACATAGTTGACCGTGGTTCTAATCTCAGACCTGGTAGCTTAAAACTCATGCCAGGTGCGTGTGCATGCATGCTGAAAATCCCAGGAGGAGAATGGAGGAGAAGGATTACAGCATGGCCATCCCCTTAGGGGGTGATTTCTTGCTTTCTGTCTCTCCGTCTCTCTCTCCATCTCTCTGGCTAGCACAAGGCCTTTAGCAAAAATCTCTCTAAAAAAAAAAAAAAAAGTGGTCTAATTTTTATTTCATGAGCAATTCAGAACCCATATCAATAATTCAGAACTCATATTTGAGAGGTGCTAACTACATTTTTTGTTTCTGTGGCTAATCTTGGATGGCAGTTAAGGCAATACAAGTTCTGTCATAGAGTGGGTAGAAAATGAAGTTGGCCTTACTGTCTCTCTCTTTTTAACTAACAGGATATACTGGACTTTCTAGAGAAAATTATTTTTTACCCTAAGTTACATATATTAGAGACATTCCTTTCTATACTTTGGTAAAGAGAAGTTGAGCCAGGTGATTAAAATTAGATAAGGAAATTATCTGTTGGCAAAGTAAGGGTTTTTACTTTGTTTTAAACCGAGATGACTTTCTTAATTGTATTGGATTTGTTTTCAGGAAAAAGAGAGAGAATTGGATATAAAAAACATATATTCTAATCGCCTGCCAAAGTCCTCTCCAAAGAAAGAAAAAGAACCCACATCTAAAAAAAATGGTACATTGTCTCTTATTATTGAAAAATTTATATTATAGCTAGTATTTATTAATAATAAAATAAATTAATTCTGAAGTAGGAGAAAGGTAAAGGGAAGAACCTTCCAGAAATACATTTGAATTAAATGTATTTTTTATAGTTAATTTTCAGAAATCCTTTTAACTTACTCAGTCATGGAAATTATTTTTTACATAATTTTTGAAATTTTCTTGTTGTAATTTTTAAAGAATCAGTTATTTAATTTTATTTATTATTATTATTATTATTATTATTTTAATTTAACCAGAGACAGAGAAGGAAAATGAGAAAGCAAGCCACCAGGTCTGGGACTCGAACCATGGTCAGCCATGTAGGAATTCAGCACCTTCATCATCATGCCACCTGCCGGCTCCTTTATTGTAATTTTTAAAGCTTTGATAAAATATATAAACATACCCCAAAGTACAGAGAATAGTATAATGAACTTTTATTTACATGATACCTAGCTTTAACAGTTATACTTTTTACCAATTTTATTTTACAAATTGTTCCACTTTGTGCTTTATTGCCAGAGGGTACATGTGCTCAACAGAGATGGTGAGAAAGAGTATACTCCAGTGGGGCACAATTATACCACAATCCCTTTCCTCCATTTCTCCATCCCATCAGGAATTTGGCCTTGTATACGCATGTGCCTGATGTTTTTCAAGCCATCACGGTTGGGATTCGAACAGCAGTCAGCTCTGTAGGGCCTGGCTTCCTACACACAGCACTTAACCACTGTGCTATGGGGCTGGCCCTCCACTTTTCTCCTAGAGTGGTTTAAAGCAAATTCCAGATGTCATTTCATTTTACTCATAAATATATTACTATGTATAATTCTTTTGTTTTTTAACAAAAGTATATCCCTTTTTGGTGAATTATAAAACCTTTAAACCACAAGTTTTTATAAAAACTCAATAGCATTATAGTCAGAATTGTCTCCAAATGATACAATTGCCAGTAAATTCTATAAGCAAAAATAGTGACAGCGAGTACTCATCGAGCTGAGCAAAGCATGCACTATGTTATTTAAATGTTGACTATATAACAGTCGAATTCCAAACACCTCAGTATTGTACAGTGTGATTAGAAAAATTCTTTTATGATTTCAATGGCAGCTGCATGCCAGAGTGATTTCACTGACCTGTGTACAAAAGGAGTACAAACCACTGAGGACTTCCAGCTGGACGGATTTCCCATAACACCACAGACAATGACATGTTATGAAAACAAATGGGAAGACCCAGAACGTCTTCCTCTGGTGAGTTTAGCCATATGATTATGTTTGAAGTCTTCCTGAAAATGCAGTATCAAACATTTAAAAATGCCTGCAATGAAGCTAGTGCTGTTTGTGTGAATATGCAACTACCCTTTTAAAGAGAAAAACACCAGTGTATTTTATTAAATTACTTTAAATTGACTTTTTAGTTTACATTGCATCTTTTGGATGCTTCAGAACGATTATGCTTCTTGGGATGGAGATTGAAGAGAATAATTCACTTTCTAAACTTCTTACCCAGATAGTTTTGAGAATCCCTCTTAATGCTTCTATGTTTAATGGCAAGTTGCAGTAGTTTTTAAATGATTTGTTAGAATTTGACTAGGCTTAATATTTTTTGCCTCCTATATAGGAGAATGTTACAGCTTATCTGATGTTAAACAAAGTAATTGCACTAGATTCTGACTTTCTACCTTTCTCATTAGAGTGGAATTTAAGGGAACTGTGTGGGAACTTCATTTAAAAATACTTTGATGCTGGGGGCCAGTAGGTAGCCTGGTGGTTGAGATACTAGACTCCCACAGAGTTGACCGTGTAAGTTTCCCAGTGGCCCCTGAGATCTTTCTTTGTAGCACAAAACAAAGGATGACGTGATTCCTCTATTTACTCCAGTTCTTTATTTGTTTATTTCATGTTTTAAAAAAATGATTTATTTAATCTTATTTATTATTATAATTATTATTACTATTATATTTTTAAAATTTCCTATGGGGCATATACTCTCTCCAGAGAAAGACCCAGGGAGAGAGAGAGATGGAAAGTAAGAAAGCAAGCTGCCAGGTCTGGGACTGGAACCGTGGTCGGTCACATGGGAATACAGTGCCTCAACCACCATGTCATCTGCTGGCCCTCGTTTTTGTTTTATAGTTTAGATAAGATAGTTGTATCTGCTAAGTGTGTTTCTTCCTTTATTTGCACTGTCATTGAGACTAGATCATGTAGATTTATCTCTAAATAGTAAAGTATGGAATAACAAGGAGTAATTTTTTAATTTTAAAAGGACCAAGAATCCGTTTTTATAATATTAGATTTGGCAGGAGGAGTGGCAACCTGCTATAGTGAAAAGATTTTTGTACAGACTTGGAGCTATCTCTGCTTTCTGATTGAATTCTGATTCTCTCATTTTAGCTGTGTGACTTCCTGGTACTTCTATTTACTCATCAGTAAGAGCAGGGGTATTTTTCAGAGTTATGGTAATGACTACTTAGGAAATTTGTCAAGATCCTGGGACTGAGCCTGTCACGGTAAAGGACCAAATCAAATGGTAGCTTATATAGACTGCAGATTAAGTTGCTGTTGGAAGGAGGCTCAATATAGTGACTCAAGTATGATGCAGGCTTCTTTCTCTCATCATACACTGAAGTCAGAGGGTCGTCCAAGATTGGTAGGCAGCTTTCTCCTGTGGGAGTCTTCCCTGTCTTACTGATCTTCCATTTTAGGGTATAGCGCTCTTCTGAGTGGTTGCAGCTGGCTCATAAACCCTTGGTAGAGGGTGAAGGGACTAAGAAGTAGAGGGTAAATGGCTTTTGTTGTTTTATAGATGTGATCACATACTGTGGTCACAACTTTACAAAAGTTGCTCACATACTTCTATTGACTTCCCATTGGCCCTGTCTTATTGCCAGGGAGGCTGGCACGTGTCATCTGCAGCTGAGCAGCCTTCTGCCCTGCCACAGCTCAGGAGACTCAGTAGAAACAGGAGGAAAACAGATACTAAAGGATAATTCTTTACTAGACAAGTTCTTTACTAATAATAGATCTTTTACGTTTATTTTTAAAAATTACGCATATATATTTGAAAGGAGCCTTAAGAAAGAATGAATATTAAGTTTAAAATATTTTTACTAGATTTAAATGTAAAATGTATTAATTGGAGGCTTTGGGCATAGGATAAACTTGAAAGATTCAATACAGTTATCACCGCCTGAGTTCAACAGTCTCTCAGTTAACCACCATTGCTGGCTAGTACCCATTTCTGGTTAACTGAAAAAATCAGATTTTGTTGTGAAAATTTACAAAATAGGACACTTTTGAATGTCTTTTCAGAATTTTATGTAGGGGGACCAGCAGTTAGCATAATGGCTATGTCATTGGACTCCCATGTAGTTGACCGCAGTTCAAGTCCCGGACCTAGTGGCTTAAAACTCACGCTTGGCTTGTGGGCAAGCGTGCCCAAAATCCTGAGAGGAGAATGGAGAAGGGATTGCGGCATGGCCATCCCCCCTGGCGGGTGATTTCTCACTTTCTGTCTCTCTGTCTCTCTCTGTCTGTCTGGTGAGTGCACAAGCCCTATAGCAAAAACCTCTCAAAAAAAAAAAAAAAAAGAATTTTATGTAGGGTATTGGCTTTATTTATATCACATTAGTTCTGATATATCTTATAAATGCTTCTTTAAATTTTTCACTGAAGTGAGCATCTTTCAAAGGGTGGTAACTTCTGATTTATGATTTATTAATTAAAAACTTGATTTAGTATCTAACTTAGTTGGTAGTCATGCTTAATGAAAGATAAATCTATGATGTATAAATAGCTTTTTCCCCTTCTCTATATGTGAATTTGCATTTTTAAAAAATGTATAATAGGACTTTGAATCCCAAGAACAAGACAAGCATGAAGAAGCAGGGATTCTAAACACAACAGTGGAAAGAGAAGGAAAATTCATTAAACCTCAAGTACTCCATGTTGTAAAACAAGAGGAAGAGAAGCTGCAGGATGGTAAGAAAAAGAACTTATTTAAGGACATGATGAGTCAGCATCCCTTGGGAAAGACTTAGGGCCCTGCTGTCCTCAGCTGAACTGCGAATTGGTTATGCAGAGCGAGGACAGGTACAGTGGTGGGGGATGATAGCAGATATCAGAACTCACGTACATCTGAACGAAGTTATTAAAGAAAGAAAGAAATTGAAGACTGTAAATGTGTTACTATTTAGGGTTAGGGAATAAGGACAAGTTATCTTCTGAAAATTCTGAAGCAGAATTCAAGTAAAGAGGAAGCAAACAATTCTTTGTGTGGTAGCCAAAGCTTGATAAAGAGAAAGAGATAAATAAATAAAAGATGACCCTCTTTATTGGCTTGGCCTTGAAATTCTCTAGACTAGCATAAGTTAAAAAAAAAAAATCAATGAATTGTGAGGCCCTAAATATAGTCCTATAAAAATGTTTAATGAATAAGGTAAATCTTCAGTGTGTTCAACCATTATTGTAGAAGTTTGACAAACCAACTCACATAGTTTCAGATACTGAAATGAAGTTCAAGAATAAATTAATTTCCATCTAGGTAAAATATCTTAAAGGTATGGACAAGAGGGATCCCAGATGCTAATCTTTTAAATATATTCTTGCATTCAGTTTTTTTTAATTCCTTGAGCTGGAGTTAATGAAACAAACATGTGATCAAATTGTGCTTTATTTTGTATGTATGTGTGTATGTATGTATGCATATTGTAGTTTATGTATACATACATATATGATTCAGTATAACTTGAAATAGAAGCTATGTTTGTATCACTGTTGGCTAATACACAGTTGAGAATACTTTCACATATTAAACTACAGGATAGAAAATTAGGTGTTATGGTTGGTATCTTTTTTGGTCCTTTTGACTTTTTTTTTCTTTTCTGGAATTTATATGGAATGATTTCTGACATCAGTGAAAATATATGCCACTTGCCAAAGTTGCCAGATTTGTAGTGCTCTTACATATTTTAATATTTGTAGTTTTTTAAAATTTTGAAATAATTTCAAAATAATAGAAAAGTGGAAAGAATGCTAAAGAACTACTTAAGAGTAAGTTATACAGCTCACGCCCATACCCTTTAATACTTCTATGTGTATTTCCTCCAAACCAAGATGTTGTTTTAGCTTATTCCAGTGTAATTTTCAACTTCAGAAAATTTTATTTTGATGCACACACTTATATAACATGGTCTATGTTACGATTTTTTCAGTCGGCACAATGTTTTTTATACAGCATTTGCTTACCTGCAGGATGTGAGCTTGAACTGCATTTAGTTTTCATATTTCTTCAGCCTTCTTTAATCTGGAACAACATTTTGAATTTTTGTTATTTTTTAAAAATATTTTGTGAGATTAACAGATTTGATAAATACAGACCCATTTTTAAAAATAGGATATTCTTCATTTTTGGCTTTATATAAAATTTTCTCTTAATTAGATGCAGGTTAATGCATCTTTTGTCAGAATAAAACATACATGATGCCATGTCCTTCTCAGGATGTGACATCCAAAGGTTTAATTTCCTTTTAAGTTTAAAAGTCTTTTATCCATCTATTTATCTATTTTCCCATTCCACCACCCACTATTCAGCATACAGCACTGTATTCGCTGTAAAAAAGTAAAGAAAAGAGAGCCTTCTTTTTCACCTCTATCTTTAAGAACAATTTTTCCATATGTGAATCTTAAGTGTAATGAACATTAAATATATTATTCTCTAATGCCAGAATATCAAGTATATCAATAATTTTATGATGTTCTTCTTCACTATACATTATAAGACCCAAATTAGATAAACATGCTCATTTTTTAAAAGATAATTAAATTTTCCTATTTAAAAATATTGACTGCTATAAAATCCCATTTTAAAAATTTCATTTCATACAGTGTGGAAGAGAGAAGAACTTAATAAAAAGCAAACAGAAAAGACATCTTTACTGGAAAGAGAAGAAAGGCCAGAGTTTGAAACTGGAAGGCACCAAATGGATATGTATCAGGTTCAGAGTATTGATAGACTGGAAGAAGAGGAAGAGGAAAGATTGAAAAGAGAAATGCTACTTGCAAAACTAAATGAAATCAATAGAGAACTCCAAGATCCTCATAATCAAAAACACCCTTCTTTGCCATTGATACCTGATTTAGAAACAAAACTGCACTCCCCAAAGAAAAGCCCTAAAACATATATGTTCTCTGAATCCTCAGAGAGGTTATTTAATGGACATTATTTACAAGACTTTGGTTTTTTAACTCCAAAAAGAGAGGGTCAGAATCCAGGAAATGCCAGAAGTCCAACCTCTCCAAATGAGTTTGCATTTGGTAGCTATGTGCCTTCATTTGCAAAAACATCAGGGAAATCAAATCTGTTTTACCAAAAAAGTGACCTTTTGGATTTCCAAAGAAATAGTGTGGAAAAACTCAGTAAAGACAGTGTAGATGTCATTACTAGAAAAGAGAAGAAAGCTAACCTGATGGAACAGCTATTTGGTGCCAGTGGCGGCAACACCATTTCTTCTAGAAGCAATGACCCAAATTCCCTGACTGCTGGTAAAGGAGACTTTGACCCTCTAGATTTTCTCTCTGGTGATAGAAGCAGCAGGGATAGAGAACATGATGAAGATGAAGACTTTTTCCTCAGTGAAGGACGAAGTCTTAATCCAAATCGACACCGATTAAAACATGTAAACAATAAACCAGCAGTAAAAGCAGTTGATTCTGTAGAAGAAGAAATTGAAGAAGTAGTACTGAGATGACTCAAATATACATGTTTCTGATTGTAAATATTAAAATAATTTTTTAAAGTATTTATTATAAACCTTTAGACTTTTTAACATTAAAAAGTCCTCATGAAGGAATGATTTTTGAATAGCTAAAGTGCAATGAAAAAGAAGTGGATCATATCCATCACCATATAACTAGTTTGCTGAGAATGAAGGAGTCTTTTTTGAAAGAAACCAAAAAATAGAGATAGACTTAACTTCTTGCTGACTTTTTAATTTGCAAATATGTTTTGCCTCTTAAACCAGCTCTATGGGAAGTTTTGCTCCACTGGAAGTCGCATTCATTTCCTACTGTCATCTCAAAGTGTTTATTTTTCATTATATCCTTACCGCGCCAAGTACGGTTTTCCCACCATCGTTGAATGGGAAGTAAAGGTGAAAGACTGTCAGGAAGTGTAGCTCTCAGAGGGTAGGTAACCAGTACTGCTTAGGAGCCCTGTCCTTTATGGAGAGGGGCAGGGTCCTTTGTCTTAAATGGCAAGACTGAGCTACTCTTGAGCGGTAGCAGTGATAACGTTCCCAGTTGCAAGTTTCCTGAAATCACTCCCTACAACTCTGTCCGCATTTTAGGCTGAATTCAGAAGACATTGTTTGCATGGACAGTTCCCCTGTCATGGCTCCCAGAGGTTTTGGTACAGTGTAACTCCTCTTTGTTCTCCTGCATTCTTTTTTTTCCTCAGTGACTGAGAGTGATTGGGTGTATTTTATACCAAGTACACGGAATAGAAGAAGTACATAACAAGTGCAAGGAATAGAAAAAATTTTATCCTGATAAAGGAAGATTTTCAACTCAATTATGTTTCCAGAGTAATGCAATTTGGAAATTTTAATATGTGCTTTAAGATTTGAACTTGTCCTCAAACCAAAAAAAAAAAAAAAAAAAACCAAAAACCAATAATATAAAACTGTTGGAATTATAGAACTGATGTGGAAGCAATCGAATAAATGTTTCTTTTTAGAGCTAGGGCTTCTGCCTTGCTGAGGAGGGCGGATGGTTTTCAGTTGAAATGCACTCGTCTTTCGCTGCTTGTAGTTCACGTCAGCTGCAGCCGAGTTGATGACCGTGGATTGTGCTGGGCGTAATTGGTCTTTAGGAAGCAGTAATACACCATGAACCAAGGCGAAACACCTGTAAAATGAAGAGTGGCAAAAATAATGTGTCATGAAGAATAAAACGTTTAGATTGGCACTTATTTCAAAGTGAGCTTTTTTTTTTTTTTCAAGAATTTGCTATGTATTTGTTCATAGTATGATTTCTGATGTCAAGCATATGTATCAATGAGGGGGAAAAGTTACTGTTTTATCTTGAGTTCTTATAAATCCTTTTACTGAATATGATATCATAGCTATTTGACAAAACTTTACCTAGTTAGAGCTCTAATTAAAAGATACATCATTTTTCATCTAAACCGTGTTCCTGTCATTAATTAGGAACAGAATCTCCCCAAAGTGCTAAACTATGTTAAAAGGCTTTTTTAATAAGAAAAACTTTTATGTCTGTTATCAATAAGCATTTACTATGCTAAAATACTAATAGATGTAAGTCAAGGTATCATTTGTAATGCAGTCCTTGATAAAATATTATGTAATGTTAATTTTGTTCATAGCTGCTCGTTTTTCTGCCAAAAGTAACTTAATTTTTAGTCTTTTATTTTAAAGGCTTTTAGAAGGCTTTTTAGTGAAGTTTTTTTATTCAGGTCATTTAATTAGTTTCTTACTCTTTTCTACCTGACAGTATTTTTGACCAGATGCAATGAGATAGAATTATTAAAATTGTACCTAAAATTTAGTCATAGACACAAAAGCATTATGGTATTAAGCATTAAAATTGGAGATTAAAATGTACAGAACAGATTTTCTCTATGAACAAACTTTAGAGAGTGAATCATTTTTTCTAAATGTCAAGTTAAATTTATTTGTACTCAGAACTCTTATTAATAAAACTTAAAAATGCACTATGACTCTTTATTTGAATGATACCTGAGGCTACATAGAAAATATGTAGTGAGAACAGGACCTGCAGGGTTAATTTTATTTCGTTATTCATCCTCCCCTCCACCCCGTTCAGTATTTTTAGTTGAAGTAGATGAATTTGCCCTAAATCAGTTTAGACCGTATGCTAGTCTTATCAGATAATTATAATTTTAATTAATCCTTTCACCCTTAATAGCTATCGTAATGCACATATTGCTCATAATATTAAAAAAAAAAAAGGCGAGGGTAAGGAGAACTAAATTGAATCATAAACACAGATTTGTTTGACGTCTGACTCACTGTTTTTCTGCTCATCCGCTCCACCTCATTTTTAAGCCTGCTAAGCTCTGGCTGAATCGGATAGAGCTTGCAGATCTGCTTGATGAATAGGAGAAGGCAAGTTATATCATAGCGACACTGTGGAATTTTTAGGATTGAAGAAGGTACCATAAATTGTCCAGAAAGAATCTTCCTTTGAAAGCTTTTTTCTTGTGCTCAACATATGCCAACTCATGTTAAAAGTCCCCTTTTATTTTATGTATAGGTGCTCTTCTCTCATTAAAGGGCATTTACTTTTTCAGTAAATATTTGAGTGCTTCTTAGGTGTCCTGTACCATGCGAGGTGGCAGAAGAGTATGGAGAACCCCGAGAGAGCCCCTCCATGCCTTGCTTCCTGTGTGCCCTGGGACTGCAGTTTCCTCTGCTGTCACTCATCTTTCGTGATACTTTTTGAGGTGCTTATGAGTAAATGAAATACTTAGGTGAATGCTTAGCAGGGTGCCTAGCACGTTATAGGCACTCAGTGAACATTAGGTGCTGTTACCATGGCTAATTCCAAGTTTCTTTTAGGAAGTAATTGAAGAAACAGAGAACAGCTGTGTAGACGCAGTGCACTGACACAGACACAGGCTGGACAGTCTTAGGGACCTCCACAGATTATCATGGAAGTTCTGTACTAAATGTATGGTGTCTCTAAGGCCTGCACTTTGAACTCATTTTATTCCATCTTAAATGTGCAGTAAAATTAATGAGCTTATTTCCTACTCCACAGAAGAGTAAAAAAACTAACCTTCAGAAGAATTTTCTGAAGACAGGCTCAGTGACATAAGGGACAAGGGAGAGTGAGCCCGACAGCAAAGAGACCATACAATCCAGAAAGCACAGGACTTTATGGTGCATGATGTGGTATTCATAGCCCCCTCTCCCACCAGGCCTGCGTGTACCCTCGGATAAGCCACAGGAGCTCTCTGTACTCCTCTCCTCTATAGGAAGGGGCTACTGCGACTACCTGCCTCCTGGGGTTAACAGGAAAAACCCCTCCTGGGGTTAACAGGAAAAACCCGTAGAACCCGAAGCACTCAAGTGTTCCCTGTGCTGGATTTTGGAAGGAGAGCTGAGAAAAGCGGGGCACTGTTGTGCTTGTTGAGTGCCAGGCCTGGCCAGTGGTGTTTTCATGTGCTTCAGCTCATTTATTCCTCACAAATCTTTTTCCAAGTCTAGATGTTTACTTCCATTTTACAGTTGAGGCTAATCGATAGTGATACATGATAGAATATTTATTAGGTTACACACCCAGTAGTCTCAATTTTAAAAAGTCTAAAAAATAAAATACACTATTTTAAGAAAAAATTTACGTTAGTACTCTAAATGGTCACAGACCTCAACCAAATTAGCTTAAGCAAAATAAGGAAAGTACTTCTGTTTTGAATCTGGAAAGCTCACGAAAGTGATTGGCTCTGGAGGTTCAAGTAATCGCATTTAGTTTGTCTACTTCTTAGTCCGATGGGGTCTCACTTTCAGATAAACTTTACATTTGCTGATTATGTTGCAATCGACAGCCTCGAACCCATGTTATCTCTTTAGCTGTTCTTATCACCAAGGCAGAAGCCTGACTGGCCCAGTCTATGCTGTGTCCACCTTTGGGGTGAATGGCCTTGTGCAGGGGAAGAGGTATGCCCTTATTCTTACTCATCTTTGCAGAATAAACAGCATTTGTGTGGAAAGATTCCACTAGTGAGAGAATTTTGGACATACAAAAAAATTTACTGTGCTTTCCAATTTAAAAATATTAATAGCTTTTATGGAATGAACATTAAAAGGCTCTTAATGAAATAAGCATTAGTTACTTATTCAACACTTCTTATTCCCAGGAGCAAGACATTTCTGTCATAAGATCTGATTACAAACCCTGGGGTTCTATGAGGTTCATTACTTATTAAACGTGAACTATTTTATCAGTTTGCAAGATGTTTGTGTTTCAGAGTTCATAGAAAAGAGTTAGACACCAGATACGTATTTTCCCATACTAAATGCTATACTCGTTAAATATGTACCCATATGTAAGTGAACATATTTATCTCAATCTAAAACAAAAGCAAAATCAAAAACGGGCAACCAGGTATGATTAGAAAAAACACTGACTTTGGGGCCAGGAGTTGGGTTGGAGTTTGCCACTAATTATGACTTTGGTCAAATAATTTATTGGATTTTTGGGAAAAGTCATGATGCATTTTTAAATTAAAAAAAAAAAAACATAGAAAATACATCATGATTTTCCCAACAACCTAATAATTTTTCTTAATTGTCTTTAGATGTGAGACAGGGATAATCATATTTTACAAGATTGTTTTAAGGATTGAAAGAGATAGTGTGGTTTTGAGAGAAAAGAATAATATAATGAGGCCACTGAACATGGTACAGGTATCTAAAAAGCACTCAGATATTTACTGAAGAAGTGAATGCACTTCAGTGAGAGAAGAAGGGACAAAAGCTTTTAGAAGTAGATTCTTTCTTGACAATTTATGGTACCTTCTTTAATCCTAAAAAATCCAGTGTCACTGTGACATAATTTACTTTCTTTTCATCCACGTCAGTGGATGGAGAGCTTTGTTTTTAGATTTTTGTCATAAGGTGTATATGCTTACCAAAGAGAGAGAGAAGGAAAGTGAGAAATCATCCCCCCAGGAAAGATGGCCACTCCACAATCTCTTTTCCATTCTCCTTTTAGGATTTTGGGTGTACATGCACACGTGCCCCACGTGGTTTTCAAGCTGCTGAGTCCAGGACTCCATCGTGGAGTTGGCTGTGTGAGATTCAGGGCCTTAAACACTGTGCCACCTATTGGCTCCATCGATTTTTTTTTTTTAAGACAGGGTCTCACTGTGTCCTGATCCTTCTGCCTCTAACCTCCCATGCGCCACAGTTCCTGGCTTTTAGGGTAGGCAGGAAATAAAACTGGGTCTCCTGAGTGACCTCTGCTTACTAAATAGGAGTGTCAGCCCACACGTGCTGTCACATCTGGGCCTACTAGTATTTATTTTTTTAATTTTGTATCTGCACCTTAGAAAGTTGTCAATAATGGAATTTTAAAAACCAACCATGTGGGAACCAGCACATGGCATAATGGCTACATCACTGGACTCCCATGTAGTAAACCACAGTTCAAGTCCTTGACCTGGCAGCTTGAAACATACCAAGCATGTGGGTGTGTGTGTATGTGCATGGCCAAAATCCAGAGAGGAGAATGGAGGAGAAGGGATTGCGGCGTGGCCATTCCCCTGAGGGGGTGAGTCTTCATACTCTATCGTTCTATGTCTCTTTGACAAGCACATGTGCCCTATAGAAAAATCTCTCTTATAAAAATAAAACAAAACAAAACAAAAACAAAAACATAAAAACAAACTTAACTGTGTGTTTGTTATCTTGCTCCCAAACTGCCATCTTTGATTGAAGTGGGGCTCATCTTTGTAAACTCATGCAGGGGTTACAGGCTTCCATAGAACTCACATTGTTCTTCTTCTTTTGTGAATAGGCAGCCTGTGGGGGGACATAGTTTTGCTTTACCAGCTGTTTCCATGGAGGAGTGGTACATACAAATCAGAGGCCCAGACTGGTCTGAAGGCCGGACATT